AGGTGATAGTTGAAGCTGGAGAAGGTTCAGAGGTAATAGTTGAAGATGGATGAGGTTCAGAGGTGATAGTTAAAGATGGTGGAGGTTCAGAGATGATAGTTGAAGATGGAGGAGGTTCAGACGTGATAGTTGAAGATGGAGGAGGTTCAGAGGTGATAGTTAAAGATGGAGTAGGTTCAGAGGTGATAGTTAAAGATGGAGTAGGTTCAGAGGTGATAGTTGAAGATGGTGTAGGTTCAGAGGTGATAGTTGAAGATGGATCAGGTTCAGAGGTGATAGTTGAAGATGGATGAGGTTCAGAGGTGATAGTTGAAGATTGTCGCGAATTCAGGTGACCGAATATCACCTCTTCACGACTTTTTCTCCTTTTCAATGAATTCTTCTTTTATTCCCTGTATTTTATGTAATTATATTCACCAACGCCGACGCCGCCCACAACAATGCCGATTTGAATCACCCGCCAATTCGAGGATTACTGTACCCTGCATATCCGGCCACGGATTTTTTCAGGTGTATCGTTGTAGGCATTTATAAGTAATAAATCGGTGTCTTAAATTCTGTGTTTTGTTGTCTCTTTCTCTCTTTAGGTTATCGTGTCTCAAGGGGCCGTACTAAGGCTATATGCCTGCAAAATAAAGATGGAGGAGGTTCAGAGGTGATAGTTAAAGATGGAGAAGGTTCAGACGTGATAGGTAGAGATGGAGTAGGTTCAGAGGTGATAGTTAAAGATGGAGTTGGTTCAGGGGTGATAGTTGAAGATGGTGGAAGTTCAGAGGTGATAGTTGAAGATGGTGAAGGTTCAGAGATGATAGTTGAAGATGGAGGAGGTTCAGACGTGATAGTTGAAGATGGAGGAGTTTCAGAGGTGATAGTTGAAGCTGGAGAATGTTCAGAGGTGATAGTTGAAGGTGGTGGAGGTTCCGAGGTGATAGTTAAAGATGGAGGAGGTTCAGAGGTGATAGTTAAAGATGGAGTAGGTTCAGAGGTGATAGTTGAAGAGGTGGAGGTTCAGAGGTGATAGTTGAAGATGGAGTAGGTTCAGAGGTGAAAGTTGAAACTGTGGTAGGTACAGAAGTGATAGTTGAAGATGGAGGTGGTTCAGAGGTGATAGTTGAAGCTGGAGGAGGTTCAAACGTGATAGTTGATGATGGAGGAGGTTAAGAGGTAATAGTTAAAGATGGAGTAGGTTCAGAGGTGATAGTTGAAGCTGGAGGAGTTTCAAACGTAATAGTTGAAGATGGAGGAGGTTCAGAGCTGATAGTTGAAACTGGAGAAGCATCAGAGGTGATAGTTGAAGATGGATGAGGTTCAGAGGTGATAGTTAAAGATGGAGTAGGTTCAGAGGTGATAGTTGAAGATGGTGGAGGTTCAGAGATGATAGTTGAAGATGGAGGAGGTTCAGACGTAATAGTTGAAGATGGAGGAGGTTCAGAGGTGATAGTTGAAACTGGAGAAGCATCAGAGGTGATAGTTGAAGATGGATGAGGTTCAGAGGTGATAGTTGAAGATGGAGTAGGTTCAGCGGTAAAAGTTGACGCCGGGGT